TATTGTCTGTTGTCAGATCATTTAATCGTGTTCTTGTCAACTTCACAGTACTTTGCGTAATGAACATAGCTTGATCTCCACGTTGCCAGGTGCAATGGGAGGAAATCAATTTGTGTGACATGATGCCTAAAAGTCAGTTTTCGGTCACAATACTAAACGAACATCTGTAACTGAGACGACTTCACGGAATGATTGTTCAAGAACAATCTGAAAACCATGGCAATATCTTTGACAACAAATCTACCGAGTTCAAATTGTTCAAATACTTCTGAAAATATTACACTGGCACGCTCAGGTGGAACGAAGTGGCACGACATACGTAGTGATTATATGATATGTCATTTGCGTAGCTAGGCAACGTGTCGCGATAAACAGAGTCGTTTTTAATACGCGGTTTCGCGAACCTAGATGTGCTGTGAGGAAATAAAGATGATTTAAAAGTACATTTCACAATTTTTTTCAGAATTAAATACATGCCTGGAAGACGCACTGCATACGAGAAAGCCATAGACGTACATGCTATGTTGGTCAGAGGTCTATAGAACACTTCATTGTACATTATGTGAAAATTAGTTTATGAGCGTGTATCCTCAATCACCAATTCTATTGTTGTAAAAAGACAAATATCTTTTCAATTAAACTAGAATTTGAAAATCGGTGGACATGCATGCTTTATAAGCACCATCACTGACATCAACAATGCTACTGAGCACCCTCTACCAATCACACTACGTATACCATCACTAAATGTACTTGGCTCTATAGGGTTCATACCATTAATTGAATTTCCATAGACGACAATGTTAACATATGACGAGATTGCTATATGAAAATGATGAAGAAAGTTGAAAACATGGCTCAAAAATGAGAAATCAACATGCCAGTAAACAACTATATGAAAAAAACTAACATGTTGGCCAGCTCAAACTCTTACAAATCTCAGGTAAACAAGACACATCCTACTGTATTTGGATTGCACCTAGAGAAATCACTGGAAAAACGCCAAGATTAGAACATCCAAATACACACAGAATAAACCCACAGGTACACAGTCCCTAAGTAGTAAACAAAAGACCACATGTTGGTCTCAGGTGATTACGCCCTCAAACAGGGACACCCGAGAAAAAACAAATTTAAAAAATTCATTGGTTCTTGCTAGGCTACGAGCAGCCATTGGTTGATTAGTGGTGTGAGACCTGTATGTCCATCCCACTATCAATATATAGTCTACTGAACCATTTTGCCAAGCTCACACTTCCCACACTGGCTTTAAATGTACTTTGACTGTACTGTAGAGTTTTTGCGTAATACTTAAAACCAATAAAGTTGTGAGGATAGTATCCCGGGAATTAAAGGGAACAAAATTAAAGGAGAATCTGGTGCTTTTTAGGATGATGTCAACTCTATGATTTTATTATACAAGACTGATAAACGAATGGGAAACGACCCATTAGTCGTGAAACAAACGATAAATACTGTTTGCACAGTTACTGAAAATGATTATTTGGTCGGTTTTACTTAACATTGAGATTACTCGGGGGATAGAAAGGATACAGATACCACTACTTCTTGTACTTTGATGAAATATATATACGACTATTGATTTTAGATTCATGGATGAGTGTGTTAGTGACTATTATCGTACACTGGACGTGTATTTTTCTTAAAGGGCGCAGTCGTCGCGCCACGCACGCGCGAAGTATATGCGTCTCATATAAACAAAGATGGCGACCTTGGCTGTTGCGCAGATCAACGAGTACAAACTTAGACATTACTAAGTTTTAATTAGGTATTTTTTAGGTGATTGGAAAGTATCGAAGGAGTCATTGGCGATTCCATTAGAAGAGCGCATTGGATTGTGGGAAAATCAATGTTTATCAACAGTACTGTCGCCGATGCGCTACGCGACGATTACTGCCCTTTAACTGATATGTTTCCATGCACCCCACCTGTGATAATAATTTGTTTGGTCTTATGTAAATGTGTGCACGGTAAACACTGGTTATTTACCTCTTTGCTAAATTCTTTTGTAATAATTGAAGAATGTTTAGTGCACTATCGTTTGTATTGGGCGCACTGTACCCGCGCCTCTGCAATCCCAACATATACAGGCATTTATGACTAGTCAACTGCCATCACCATGTTTACTGAACTCCATGTGTACTGGTCTCCCTGTGAATATTCAACTACCATCACCATGTTTACTGAACTCCATGTGTATTGGCCTCCCTGTGACTATTCAACTACCATCACCATGTTTACTGAACTCCATGTGTATTGGCCTCCCTGTGACCATTCAACTACCATCACCATGTTTACTGAACTCCATGTGTACTGGTCTCCCTGTGACTATTCAACTACCATCACCATGTTTACTGAGCTCCATGTGTACTGGTCTCCTTGTGACTATTCAACTACCATCACCATGTTTACTGAACTCCATGTGTATTGGCCTCCCTGTGACTATTCAACTACCATCACCATGTTTACTGAACTCCATGTGTACTGGTCTCCCTGTGACTATTCAACTACCATCACCATGTTTACTGAGCTCCATGTGTACTGGTCTCCTTGTGACTATTCAACTACCATCACCATGTTTACTGAACTCTGTGTATTGGTCTCCCTGTGACTATTCAACTACTATCAACTTTGAATGAGCTTCATGTGTATTGGTCTCTTTGTGACTATTCAACTACCATCACCATGTTTAATGAGCTCCATGTGTCCTGTTCTCCTAGTGACTATTCAACTACCATCACCATGTTTACTGAGCTCCATGTGTACTGGTATCCCTGTGACTATTCAACTACCATCACCATGTTTACTGAGCTCCATGTGTACTGGTATCCCTGTGACTATTCAACTACCATCACCATGTTTAATGAGCTCCATGTGTCCTGTTCTCCTAGTGACTATTCAACTACCATCACCATATTTACTGAGCTCATATGTACTGGTCCCTGTGACTATTCAACTACCATCACCATGTTAACTGAGCCCCATGTGTACTGATCTTCCTGTGATTATTCAACAACCATCACCATGTTTACTGACCTCCATGTGTACTGGTCTCCCTGTGACTCTTCAACTGTCATCGCATGTTTACTGAGCTTCATGTGTACTGGTCCCTGTGACTATTCAACTACCATCACCATGTTAACTGAGCCCCATGTGTACTGATCTTCCTGTGATTATTCAACAACCATCACCATGTTTACTGACCTCCTTGTGTACTGGTCTCCCTGTGACTCTTCAACTGTCATCGCATGTTTACTGAGCTTCATGTGTACTGGTCCCTGTGACTATTCAACTACCATCACCATTTTTACTGAGCTCCATGTGTCATGGTCATCACCATGTTTACTGAGCTCTATGTGTCATGGTCTCCTTGTGACTATTCAAGT